GTAAAGATAGGCTTATTGTTATAAGACATATAAAAGTCGAAAATATATAACCGTAGTTGTTCTGCAATGACAGATAGGCGGTATAATGTAATCATCCTAAATGGCCTTCTAATTATGGATACATTGCTTGTTAAGCTCGGCTGTTTCGTATGGAAATTGTAGTCACTAAAGTCTTTAAGGATTTTAACGATAAATTCAGATTTTAAACTCTTAAAATGTTTGTTTGCGATTACAAAGATGGGAGTGCTGCGAGGCAATTATTCGGTGCTATGAGACACTTCACTTACAGATACTTTACACCCAAGACACTTCACCTCAATGCAATAAATTGAAATAAATACTCTAAAAAATAAGGGAAGAGGACGTGAAATGTATTATAGATGTTGGGGGATTTATTGTCTTGAAGCTGAAGTGTTCTTAAATGTGAGGGTTGGAGGGTCTAGGGGTAAAGTGTTTTGTTCCCTAGCCAATATACCTGGTCCGAAAATTTGCAATCAGACTACTTATGCATGTATGATCTATGTCTTAGTTTGAACAAAGTTACCTATACGAATTCTGCTGTATAATAAGTAAAACTAAACAGTCATGGTTAATATATAAAGAGAATGATAGTTTCTTTTGTTTCATCAATCTGAACCATTTTTACTGCGCAACAATGAATCATATTTTTGAAAGTTTGATCATTTTCGCTAAAATCGTCAGAAGCTTCAGAATGTGTGTAAATACTACAGCGGATTATACAAAATAACAGACTGTAGTGAGCTAATATAATCAGGAAGAAAATGGTATTTTTGAATAAAGAAGCATCAAAATTTCACCAAGTACTCTATTTGACAACAAAGTTTGCAATACTTAAAATCGTTAAAAACGAGTCCAGTATCGTGCTAATGCCAGTCTTTAAATTCGAGAATTTTACTTTTGCAATTCATAAATTCCTACGTGAATATTGTAAAATCACCTTTAGTATAATTATATTTCAATATCTTGAAAGAATTTACTGATAAGCTCATTATCTCTGATCCAATTTTAATGTTACACAGTTTCCTGAACCTCCTTCTTTTAATGCATACACATTTTTACGACGTAAGGAAAATACGCCCATGAAATGACGCAAACACGATCATATCCTTAGAACGACTACCTCTTTCGCAATCATTTTCATAGCGACTCCACACAACTGAAATTAAAGTCTTGAATTCGGAATGGACAGCAGATATGGGTCTTTCAGCCAGTAAACGTGATTTAGTAGTGTGTGAGTATACGTTACGTTATGTACAGCGATGAAAGACACAATGAACGCTACTTGCTTTAAAAAGGTAGTAATTGATCCATTGAATGGTACCTGTGCATTGCAAAATTGCGCTTATACATTCAATAACTTACTTTTCGAAAAAAAATCAACAACGTTACATTTTGGCAGAAACAGTCACGTGACACGCGTCTTCTGGAATACATTTATTCGCAGAGCAGCTAAAATGCTCGATTTTGTCAAATTCGCATTAAGTTTAATAAGGCTCAATCCAACCAAGCCTCTAACATATTTAATTTAGCATGATAAGATTTCAGTTATATAACAATTTTCGCTCGTTTATTGAACAAATTTACATCCATTAGTAAATGAAAATTTGACATATGGCCATAATCATATAAAAAATATTATTGAGATCAAATCTTGCACATGTATTGAAAATACACAGCAAATATCAGAGACAACCAGTTATTATTCACGATTAGCTCAGCCTCATACGACACATACTTTGACGTTAATTTTTTATCACCATTACAAAAACAATGTGAATTCTTTGTATTTTACTTTTTTATCATGTAATACTCCCAAATATAATAAACGATCGTTAGTACTGAGTGAATGTCTTGATTAGCAGTAATTATGTTCCGAAATTAAGTGAGCAGATATCACAGTGAGAATCGTATACCATGAACAATTGTTAAACACAAGTTTGGCCTACCGAAATTCCTTCTAAGGCAAAAATAAATTGATAAAAGTAGTAATAATGGGTTTCGCGTGCAGGAGCCGGAAGTAGATTTGCCTTAAAAAGTATTTATGAAATATATTGATATAAATTAAGGTTCTGAGAAACAAAATCGTAGACATAAATGTTGCTGATGTTCTTATATCTCTCAGAGCCTATGATTGAAAGACATGTGTACACATCCATGATTCAAAAGATTGTTTGTGAATTGTATGAGTTGCACTTAAAACTTTTGTTGTTCGCTTTGATTTTGGAACGAGGTATAACTGACCGGACAAAACGATGCTTTTATAAGGCAATAAAACGTATGGACTGCAAAAATATTATATTATACTTTAAAAAATTAAGATGAGATAACATAGTTGCCATTTTGTTACTTAAATTGTGTTCGTTTGTTTAATGATCGCCTGTCGTCTGCTACTAGTTACTTTGTTCTTCTCTAAACGCAAGGAAAAACTTCTTTTTTGAGAAAATTGTCAGCGTATATTGTACATTATGAATTCTTTGGACTTCTAGGTGAACTTTAATATCCTCATTCCTCAGTTAGAGTAAACAAACATGTTTCTACCTTTTCATGAGAAGGAATAATTAAAATTGATGCTTGCAAATAATGGATGGAGAAGAAATGTCGGAAATAATAGCGAGCGATAACCTACTGCTGGAGTATTTTATAAAACTAGATTAAAATGGACTCAGGTTAGTCAGGTAATACACAAACTTAATATAGCTACAGTTTTAAATCGCCAGGTTTTCTTGGATATGGTGACTCTTCATGATTTAAATGACTGGCTGTCCTTAAAATGCATGTTCATTATCATGTTTGTTTTTGTGATTCTAATGTGAACTCTGGCAAATTCGAAAGCATGGCCAGAAATCATGTGCTGTTGATTATAAATGTCAAGGACGCCATTTTTTGTAAAAAGTGCATATTTGTTAAAATCTAGTCATTTTGCAGGGTACGACTTATCAATCAAAGTGAAACAACTGTTTCTAAGTTACAGTTTGCATGGAATTGCTAAAGCACAGACAAAGTTGCTGAAGCCCGTATCATTAAAGATAGTTTTGTTAGAGAGACAAAATGTGTTGTTCCGGGTCTTGAACAAAAGTAGATTTTGGGCTTCTACTGAATGAATGGCAGCTTCTTGAAATGCCTTACTATTATAGCATCACTGCTACCACTATAATTCAAGAACATGAGAGTTCATTGAAATAATAATTTTCATTATTAGTTATGGTTGACATAAAAATACCAATTATCAAGAACTTTCATTTTCCTAAAGCATACAAGGCATGGTCAAGTAATGCACATACAATGGGAAACAAAATAACAATTATAAGGCAAATCAAGATTAATTTTGTTAATCATGACCTTTTAAAGATAGTTTTATTACGATATCTAGAGTGTAGATTTTCCGAGTTAAGAATTACTGTAACAATTATTAGAGCAAATAAATTGAAATTCTATAAAATAACGAATGTTAATTAGACATTAAAGATAAACAAAAAATGAGAAAATCTTTCAACCATTTAGTGATAACTCACCGTCTTCACATGCGTCTCCTGTCCAGCCTGCTAGGCAACCAGGGGTCTGACATTTCCCTGTTACTTGATCACATGTGCTATTGTCTGAACAGTGACAACTATGCAAACATTTCGATCCAAAGTTACCGACTTTACACACTTAATAAAAAAGCCAAATGAAATAACTCTTTTTAAGTGTGTGGAATATAATTCAAGATAAAGTTTAAAAAACCCATGAAAGCGTTTTCAAAGGAATACTCTCGTTCCCCTAAATAAAGATAAATTGAAATCTACATACTTATTTCAATTTCCTTTAGAAAGTTATGTTTACAATAATTTTATTATGGTATGATTTTTAAGTTGTGTATTAACAAAACTGACGCCGTGAAGCGCGTGTACATTCATTGATACAAATAATAATTAAGTCCTTGGAACCAATAGCATTTTGTCAAATATTTATATGTCGATCACCAATAATAAATAGTTATTTTTTTATCATAACATTTTAAATAATACATTATAACACACATACTTAGATTCAGTATGATACCTTTTTCATTTAGCTTGAATTCACACAGAGTCAACACTTTCTGGTTCAATTCTACTAGGAAGTACTGTGCGATTATTGCGTCTAATTGTTTTGTAAAATTCCGTGTCAAAGCATTCATTGATGGAACGTCGTAAACCTTCACTTTATCTGCAGCTTTTCCTGGCTTCATTGACACGTTGCTAGCATAAACTTCAGCGTATTCCAATTGCGAGTCTTCATCTGACACATAAAGATTTCGGTAGGTAACACATGTTCCATCCATCCATCAATCCCATCCTATCTACCCTACTCTACCCTACCCTACCCACCCACCTTCCGTACCCTACCCTACCTTACTACCCTACTCTACCCACCCACCTGCCATACCCTACCCTACCCACCTACCCTACATGCCTACCTATACCTACCTACCTACCTACCTACCCTAATTTCTGATAAATTTTGAATACACATAATCGTTCTTCCTTTTGGAATTCTGATGATGTTGATACTTTGTAATATTAAAAAAAACTAATACAATTATAACTTTTAGAAACACTTGTAACGAATTCAATCTGCTATTATTCGAAAACAAAACCTGTTAAAGTAAGACAAAAGATATAATCTTACAAGCTGCACGTCCAAATATTTGCAAACCACCTAACAGGTATTTTTGTCCAAGATCAATTTGCCACCATGAAGGAGAGTTTCCATCTGTTACACTGCAGCATTTACATGTATCTATTGAATAATTCTGCACTCCGTCAATTGCTTTACTAGAGTTGAAATTTTGTGGATTATTATTTGAATGAAATGTACTAGATTGGCTTGTTGTAACGGTTGCTCTGATACGTTCAATAAGATTGAATTCTGAAACGAAACAATTGACACTTATTTGGCGTATTGTAAAAGAATATCGACACAATCAAAATCTTTTTTTTATTATCCTGTGCAGTTTTATCAAGTAACTAACTTTCCTCTATTAAAGTTAGTGTTCATGACAACAGTTTCCAAACAAGACGCATATTTCCTTTTAATTTATATATGCTTAAAAGAAAATATATGTCTTACTTTAACCAACAAATTATTGCTATTTTTCTGTTGTTGTTGCCTTTTCTTTTTGAGATTGTTTGCTTGATTTTATCGTATCTTTATAACAAACAAGTATTTAATTCAAGGAGAAGAAATACTAGTGAAACAATTCATAAAGTCTGCAGACAAAGCACGAAGTTGCTTCTGAGATAAAACTACCCATTGCTATAGATTTAGCAATACATATCGATATTTGTTATAATAATTGACATCCACATAATTTTACTTAGATTCAACTATCCTGCAGTTGATTTTATAAGAATAGTCTAAGAATAGAAATCGTATAAACTAATTACATCAAGCTAAGTACAATTTTGTTTCGAAGGAGTCCGTTTATGAAAGGTATGATAACATGTAAAGTGTCACCAATGCGCTTTAAATTATACATTTTCAAAATGAGATCGATCAACAGCCTTTCTTATTTAAGGAAGAATGTCACAAATGAACAGATGTATGAATGAGCAAATAATTTGGCAATTGTACACAAAACTGCAAGATTTTAAACAAGAGGAGATGCAAATGGGCTGTCAGGTGTTTTTATTTTTTCGGACACATAAAACAATATGTAAGACAAGCTTAATTTAGCACCTCTAACTCTGTTTTTAAAGATGAAAAATAATTCTTTTTGACGAGTGTTTCTTCAATGTATACAAATATTTAAAAGGTTTCCGCCGAAATCAGGAACTCCGTGACAGTTATCAGAAGAACTTCATCCTTCGAGTAACAGATCCTCCCCGTAATAAAGGCAGTTTGTGGCGGTTATTTATCAATTCCGATTTATTCTAGTTTGTCATTAAAATGAAGAAAAGGCGTAAGACATAAGCAGTAACAAAACAGACCACATTTTACCTGCAAAGCATTTCTTGGTAGTAGCTTGTAATAGGATCAGCACAATACAGAGCAAAGTCGTCATTGTGTCGTAAAATGATTGTCTGCAAAAATATTTCATAAGATTCACTATCATTAGTAATGACACATATAGTTATAAAATAAGGAGAAATATTTGTATCAAAATTTTGTGATCTCCCTTTATTGAAATGTAAGATTCTTGTATACAGATGCATAGTTATACAGATGTATAGTTCTTACAGACTGGCTGTAAATCTTGATCTCATTTGATAAAATTTCATATGATAATGACAAATCATATTCAACTCTTTTATCATATGACTGAATGCCATGAAATAAATGAAAACCGAATGTTTTACGTTTTACGCTCGCTATTGTTCTACAATCTTACATATCACGTGTGATATACGAGGTTATTATACGTTGTAAAGTACATTGTATCTGTAGGACAGTTTTGTAGTGTACAATATTAATTTGAAATGGATTTTCAGTACATATGTTTTTTTTTTATTAGATTTAAAAAAGGTTAGATGAAGCACAAAACAGATTTGAAGTAGCTCCGAAAACTTAAAAAACTTGAACTTTAAAGCTGAACGGGACTTTATCACATTGGATATAATAATGATCTGAACTGAACAATGTATTGAAAACGCTAGCATTTGAATGGTTACACATTATAATGTATGTAATATGAAGAAATATGTAACGGTTATATTACATTTAATATGCCATGTGTTCAAAAACAAACTTAAAAAAAATATTTCTCCAATTATTTATTACCAATTATGTAGTTAAAAATATGAAACAACTCTTTTTATGCCAATTATTTTACAATCACTTTATCATAATTATTTTGTTTTTCGGTGTACAAAAAACACTGTATTTGTTGAAAATAAGTTAGGTATAGTTCAAATGTAATTATACAATCGACGAAACATGAAATATTTGTACTCAAAAGCTTAGATATAAATATAATTAAATACTTCTCCTGTTTATCCGATTCTTTTCTTACCTTAAGAGTAATTTTCAAAACAGGAAGTCAAATGATTTCAGTTTATATCACACAGATTGAAGGCTTTCATCAAACTTGTTCGGCATAATTTTCTTCTTTACTTAATCAATATCCAACAACTACTATCTCTATAAAATGTCTAAATGTTACATGTTTTTTATATAAACACTTCATCTTATCAATGAACTAATAAATCTTCCTGGTGTAAATGTAAATATGCATTTAAGTATATCCCGCTAATATCTGAAGGCATTTTGATCTATTTAGGATCAAACTCAGCATTTTCGTTAGATGCTGTTGAAAGGAAACTATTAAACTGCATTAAGCAGTATAGTACAGTTGCATTTAGTTCAGAATACTTGAACGTTCTGTGTCATGATATTGGACAAAAAGGCAATTTTTATTCAAATATTCTATGTTTACAATTAACCACACTTTCCAGTCTCTCGAGCGCATTTGGAAATAAAACTGATGAATTCTTATAAGAATTACAAGATATGACCATGTGATATTAACTCTAACTTCTACATTATGCCCTAGCCGTTACAGCACTACTAAGACGTATATAACAAGATAGGAACAAGAACAGACATATTGTCCAAAAATATGAATATCAAAGAAAATTGTGGACAATTTTCTACTTACCATAAGTCTATGAGCTTACTTGTTATAACCTGCAGGAAATAAAACGATGCATATGTATATACAGTCAAGCTTCGTTCGCTTGAACTCGGAGAGCCTGTGTAAATTTGTTCGAGAGATCGTTTGTTCGATCCAACCGAGTATATACATGTATGATATAGATGTGTTGTGTGAAAAACTCAAATCAATTCAGGATAGAAAATACATTGTCTTTACCATCTTAACCATATTTGATCATGACTTTGAACTTAAATGGATTGATATTGCTTAATTACACCGACCTATGACCGTTTATGTACTGGGCCGTTTTTGAGAGTGCCTCACATAAAAAAGAAGGAAATATTGATCTAAAATAAACCTACATGTATAAGGACATCAAATTTTGATTTGACATCGCAACAAATTTTCTAGTTTTACAAATTACGTTCAAACTCATCAAGAAATAGAACATGTATGTACCGGACACGAAAAGTTGAGTATTAGATAAAACTTGACACTCGATGTTCTCACATAAATATACTCATAGGTACTCGTACTAATATGCATACGTACAGTCGACTCTCGTTATCTCGAAGTCATCAGGACCGTCCAAAAACATCAGATCACGAAATGTCCAGATAAACATATTAGGGTTTGAACAAGGCAGAAACTGATTTTTACACAAAAAAAATGTACATACGTTATATTGAAGTCAAATAAACTAAGTTGGATATATCAATGTCTTGTTTACTTGAGCCATGTATCAAAAGTCAATATTTAACAAAGTAACATAAGCAGATGATTTCCAGCCGAAATCCGGGAGTCTGTGATAAAAATCACATAGTGAGGTTTACTCAGTAATACACCACTATAGTGAAAATGTTGTCAGTATTGTTGATCCAGATATCCTCCCGGGTTGGTCATTGGGCCCTTCTCGGGATTGTTCGACAGCTGTTTGATTTTTTGATGTTATGAAACAATATTGCAGCAATAATATTTCTATACTTTTACCATTTCATTTACATTTAAAGTCAAACTAAATTTAATACAGTGTTCAAATGTTTAATAGATAACGAAACATTCACTTATTTTGGACATACGTAAATGAACATGCTAATTAGAAAAACTTTTATATAAAAAAACAGCTCAATAAACATAATAATCATTGTGACACGTGCTATTGAGTGATTATTATCTGATTTATGTAAAGACAAAAAATTATTAGCCGAGATAAACAAAGTATAATAGTGTGAAAATAATTGTAGGGGAGGAATATTTACTTCGAAAAACTGAAGATATCTTAATAAAGATATCGAGATAAACACATATAATTGTCTATAAATTTGTGTCATATTGACAAGTTATAATGTATCATTGTATATATATATGTGTTATGTAGCAAGAAACGTTATGTTTACGTTACCAAATAAAATATTTTGAATCTTGAATCTTTAATATAGATAAAGAAAAATCGGGACTTTCAAAATTTAATCAGATAACGATGACTGTGTATTATAATTTGAAAGATTCTGTTGGCTTTGTTACTTATTAGTCGACCCGAATTTAAATACATGTATATTCAATACAAAGCGACATGATCAGCTATGCAATGATATGAATGTTTAAAGCGTACAAAATCCACATGTTTTATTGACCTCGGATGTACTACGATGTACTGATAATATATCTTATATCTAACAGTATGCAAATACCTCCTGATAACCATCAACATACAATAATTCATTGTAGTTGATAGTGATTTAGACTCTATGTATAACAGCAATATAAGACCTTGCAATGAAAAACACATTTACTGAACTAAGGCTTGACCTTATGATCATTATTTGATTTCTTTTAATGCGTTTATTTAAGGTCGCCGCCGGAAAGCCCATATGGGCGACCGTACACTCAAGTCGGGCCATCCTAGAGCGTCCCGTCGAGATTTTTCGTCGATTTTTTCCAGCTTTATTGGTGGAGGAAGACCCCAGGTGCCCCTCCGGGCATTATTTCAGGCACAAGCGGGCACCTGGGTAGAACCACCGACCTTCCGTAAGCCAGCTGTATGGCTTCCTCACATGAAAGATTTCGACCCGAGTGAGGATCGAACCTACAGCGGTGAGGGACCTGTGATCTCAAGTCAACGATCGCTGTTTTGATCAAATTTATATGGAAGCTTGAATTGACCCCCGAGAAGCCATAAGCGTGATAACTCGTGTGTCGGCATGTCGACACATTTTAACGCAACATGACGCCTTCTATCATTTTTTGGTGGGATATTAAAGACGTCTTGACAACGTCTGTTTCAATGCATGTCGACATATAATCTTCTCCATTACCATTATGGAGTTGATGAGAATTGCGAACAGCTATGTCAATCTGTTTCATCTCGACAAGTCTAGTAATATCTCTGCTTTTGGAAAATATCACAACGTCATAACATCATGGGTACCGTCGGAAAGACCTCATTAATATTCGGAAACAAAATCCCTCCCACCAAACCAAAATGTAAATACATCGAATGATTCAATCTGTCAAGAACATTTGAGTAGTACTACTCGCTACAGACTTTGAAAGGTCATTTAATCTGAGTATGTGCTTGTTTGTATATGCGTGTTTATCTAACTAGCATTTTTACCAGATAATTAATTTCAGTCAGTGTTTGCTTAGCAACCTTCTATATTTTATATACGTATATACACTAATATGATAAGAAGACCGTTTGAATACCTTTGAAAGCACATTTCATTTCATAGCCAAATGTACCATTTGTAATAGTATTGTGCATATGAAACTGAAAGGTTACTAAAACCATTTTGACAGGGGTTCAAATGTAGTTAGAATAACACAAAACGAAACAAAATAGATAAATGATAACAATAATACATTTGTTAGAAATATTGTTGCCAAAAGGAATTTTTGACTGTTTGCTAGTGCCAAATGCATTACATTTTGTATATGCATTTATTAAAATTGAATTGTCCTTTAGACACAGATGTTTATAAGTCTTTATAATGGTATCTTTCATCATAATACTGATCTATCAAAGCTGTATGTAACTTAACTGATTTACTGTCATTTACATAGATATCATGTGTCTAGACGACCCTCAGTTACTTCACTTACATAATTATATGACGTTTACAACCGTAAATAGGCACACATGTGTGACTCTGATACTGCCAATCACTTCCTCAATACTTAATTTGTGGCATACAAATAGACAGAATAGTTTGCAGCAAAATGTAAAGTTGTTCAGACGTCCTTGTTATTGTGTTCCTCTGCATTTTACAGTTGAAGTATAGTTACTAACAATATATCCAGCATACAATTGAATACATAATGCACTATATTTTGTGCAATTTGTTATCATATAAACGATTGTTGATATATCTAACAGATAAACTGTTATTTGTATGTTATCAATATAATTGATAGAATAAAAATTAACAAAACGGCAGATTTGGCTGTTCATTGTTATATTAATAAGATTTATATATCAAACACTAACTGAGGTATTTTTTTCTGGTTTTACAGCCAGCCAAATAGATAAAAGACTACATAATGTACTTCAAACGCGAGTATATGCAGAAAACTATATGTTTTGTATAACCTTCAAAAATGTCCATTGAAAATTTAAGTCGAAAGGTTATTTAAAGAGCACTTAAGTAATTTAACTTGTTTTATTTCCAGAAAGGTTATTCAACGAAATGCTCTGCACGTATTGTACTTAACTCAATTGACATACATGTATTAAAGATCGAACATAAACATCAGAATGATATACTTTAAAGCCAAAATTGTTTTCTTAATAACGTACGGCTTTGATAATGAAATCAACGATATAGTTATGCAGTACGGCAATCATTACTCGATGGGTGGGATTTTGTCTCCGGATAATAATTAGGTTCCCGTCTTCTTTTATAATAGACAAAATTAAAGTCGACATGCTCTGATACAGGTGTTGTCAAGATTATATATTTTTCCCATCCAAACTATGGTAAAACACGCCATGTCACAGAAATATATGTCAACATGACCACATACAAATTATCACGGACCACGGCATCTCGGGGGGGGGAGGGGGGGGTCAATCCAAGCTTCCATAAATTTAAAAAGGAACGTTTTTATTTCTACACATTTTGCTTTTAAACGGCATATATGAGATAACGAATGGATCGATGCAAGTCTTCAAGTTCAAAATTTCAATATAACTTATGCTCCTGTTGGTAAGCAACACGAAGCAAATAGTTCTTAGTATAAGCTTTGACATTCCTATTTACAGCAGAAAATATTACAATGTTTTGTTTAGGAATTTGCAGTGCGTTCTAGTAGAATAATGCACTGCTGTGCAATTTATGTATCATGAACGTCCGGTAGACCTAAAAATTATATTACAAACGATGAATTATGTATCTTTCTTTTCAATTTTATATGGTGGCTGACTTGTTACACTTTTCCGAGTTGCGTTGTCACTGGCGACAACACAACATATATTGTTATCGCCTGTTCGCCTTG